ATATATTATACTAAATACATTAGTTTCCAATAGATGACCACCTAATGCGATCTCTATCAGCAGTCTGAGTTAGTTCCAGAGCCTCCCACCCCAATGGTTTAACTCTTGGGCAGTGGCAACATTACGCAGATACCACGCCATAATAGTCCGCCCCCCTCCGGGGTTTTCATCTCCTTGGGTATGTTGCTCCTTGGGTTCGCCCTGCAAATTTTTTTTTGTCAGCAATTGTGAGGGCTTTGATTAGGGCTAAACTGCTGAGAGCTTCCCGGACCGCCAACTGCAGGGCTCTGCCCCATCTGTTTGACCCGTGGTGTGTGTGTGGTTTAGGCGTTAGGGTAGCCAGGGGTGTGCAGACGGCTGATGAGATATATTACGCGGGTCACACTAATCACCTGTGGAGTACCTGAGTAATATTCATCAGAACGTTCCCGCACTAAGCCACTAATATGTAATATGCAGTATATACTAGGGTTAGGGTATTATATATATAAATTAATATACCCTCACACGGCTTGTAACACGAAGTATCTACCCTTACACGCGTAAACACCCTGCACGCTCTATAAGCCGCAATTCAGTACACAACCGCAGGCGTAGCCAACCTGCGTCACGCAAATGTTGATTGAATTACCCGTGAGTCAGTAAAAGTCGCCGATCTACGGCGTGCGAGGTACCGATAGCGCCTGCATAGAGCTGTTGAGGCGTGCACGGCGGATGCCACCTCACGCGAACTAATAGACCGTGGCCACACTATTCAACTACAGACCGTTGCGTGCACGTACACGCAATGACGTGCGGCGTACACGCATGGCGTGCGGCTACACGCATGGCGTGCGCATACACCATGCGTGCGCCACTTACGAGCGTCGTGGGTCGGAGCGCATACAACGCGTGCCACGATGCACGTAGCACGCATTGCGTCGGGGCGTACACGCATTACCATAGGGACACGCCAGACACAACGCACTCTGCTATAGCGTCATGTTAAACATGTAGTCAGCTGCGAGTGACTAGTCGCTACAGGAGTGCTGGAGGATGCGTTGGATACGGTGTCGTATCACTCCACTACGCGTCAATTGTCCGTGTTTGGTGCAGATAATACATGGTGCGTGTGCGTAGAGCGCACGGCCATCGGATACACTCGCAGAAGGAACGGTATGCCCAGCGCACATCGGAACCACACCGATGTACCGACGTGCAGGCCGGGTCAGTGGTCGGGTATGCTTGTCGCAACCGGTACCACGTTGCGTTGCGTGGGCGTGTGTGTGCACTGTACCACGACTGCAGTGGCGTGTGCACGTACCGCAGATACACGTTCACGTGCACGCTAGTTGTAAGCGGCAGCGTGGCTGGGGCAGGTTAGCACGCCGTCGATACACCGCCGGTGTATGTGGACAGTGCGTCGTGCGTGTGTACGTAAACACGTGCGTGCTGTGTGGGTCACGTACAATGCGTCGGCTATGGTGTGCGCGCACGCGGTGCAGCATAAGGAGCTAAACGCAGAGTGCGCACGCTCGCGACGCGCGATATCGTGTGCGAAGCGACAGTAAAGCCCGAATGCTCTCGTGCAACACGCCGGCTACGGCCATCCTCGCACCACCTCGATTATAACAAAACCACATAATGGTGACCTTTGCAAGAGAGAGTATTTTTGACAGAACGAAGAGGTCAAAGGCGCGGCCGCCTGTCTGGTGAGGTCTATGGCTTATATTATTTATTGTTGTAGTTTTTAGTTGAGTAGTTTCACATTTTAATAAAATTTTTCTGATAAAATAATGCATCGCTGCGGTCCTGTGGCTGGAACAACCCTCGCGGAAATTTCGAGTGGGTTCTAGTCGGCATTTCTATCGCTCAGTCAGCTCGTGTAAACGTTGACAGAGTCAACAGGGTTGTTACGGTTATTAGAGATTTTAGCTGATGAACTCGCACTGCTATACACCGCTGAATATTCGTGCATGAGCGAACAATTTACTAAATAGCTGTGTTGATGGAATCGCACTAGAAGGTCAATGTAGTTTACAGATTTGCGTACACAAAGTACTTATTACCAAATGATTTTGGCGTACGTCACGCTTCGTAGTGGAAAGTGATGTAGATCTTACCCCTCGCTATGGACCCCGCAGCGGCGTCCAGGTGCAACGCGGGCGACATCGCGGTTGAGTCCCAGTAAGTCACTACAGTTAATCCCAAAGGGTGCGCTGTATCCAGGAGGGGTCCGGAACCCCCCCCGCGGCCTTCTGCTCGCGCAGAAACGCAATCTGAGGGGGTCTAATTTCCAAAATAAATTTGTGGGGAGCAAGCCCACCAGACCTCCCTCTTCGCGTGCTTCTGTACACGCCCGACTGTTTCGCCCACCACCTAAGAAATACCCTGGCGCCGCCCTGCACACACACGACACACATTCACACACACAACACACGACACACACACACCCACAACAACACACACACACACAATAACACAACGCAAGGAGAGAGGGGGTTAAAGACAGTAAGATGAAGATAGATAGAAAAGGGAGAATGAGAGGGAGAGAGAGGGGTAGCAAGTGAGAAAGAGAGCGAGAGAGAGAGAGAGAGAGGATGAGAGGGGAGGAAGAGGAGGAAGAAGATGGGGAGGAAGAAGAAAAAAAGAGAAAAGAAGAGAGAGGTAGGGGAGAATAGGGAGAAAGAGACATGGAGAGAGAGGGGGGTGAGAAGTAGGAAGCGAGGAAAAGAGAGAAGGGGGCGCGGCAGACTGAGACAAACATATGGTTGATGGGATGATTATTTCGTGACGTTTAGACTCGCAAATGGTTCTCTGTCCTACAACTATAGTGGGCGCGTGTACATGGCGAGAAGTTAGGGACACGGTGGCAAACTAGGTGTTTCGCCTTCACAAGATATATAGAGATAGATACGGCCATGTATAATGTTTATTTGCATTATTTTTGGTAATTGTACATTAATCGCGATAGGAAATACGTTGGCTGAATACACGAATTCTAATTACACGAAGGTAATATAGGTGTCATTGACTAACTATAATTGGTCTTTAGCCGTTCCCGTGTAAATATTTATCCACAGTGAATTTTTACATCAAAATGTGTTCCGTTTTAAATAGTTCCGTTTTATTAATGTTATATCTAATATTTTGATATATGAATGCACAAATGAATGTTTTTTTTAATCGTGAACATAAGCCTTGTTGTAGTGCGATATAACAGCGTTTCTGTCATACTGTTCTGTAAATAAAGTACTCTTGACTGGGGCAGGTCTTTGCATACTTGTGTGTTTCACGCATTCTCTGCCGTTTAACTCTCCCCCACACACAGGAAATAAATTGCGAAGGGTCAGCCCTCATCATGCTATAGGGAAACGCATTGCAACACACTAATATCATTGCGTAATGAATTTATTAAGCCAATCTTATCATAAGTCAGTTAACAATTTCACACACTAATCGCTACAATTATTAACGATCCCTACACCAGTACTGCGTACAAAGTCATTAAGCATGAACGCAATTACAATTATATGCCATTAGCCTTAGCAATACATATCGTTGAGCTTTTTAACGTCCGAGTTTCTGAATCCACCTCCGACATGGGGCTGCCCCAACGAGGTCTGACAGCTTGGATCGTTCAGCGACGTGATGGTTGGATATCCGTTCTTGGAGAAGGAATAGCAATCGTAATGCATGATAGATAGGAGATCATACGCTCCATACAGAGATGCCACGCTTGTCGATACCTTGTCGAAATTGTGTTCCTGGCCTGAAGAATTATTAGGGAAGGAGAAGAATGAACATAAATAGTTACATAATGCTTTTCACAAGCAATCGTATGCACGCTTATGGAAGTTTAACTGTCTACTAACCACGTGTTACACACACATACACACACACACATACACGCACGTGCGAACGCACGCACGCGCACGCACGCACGCACGCACACACACACACACACACACACACACACACACACACACACTACACGGCACACGGCGCCTACGCACGGCTACGACACACCACACACACACACTATCTACATTATAAAACACACTTTATATATATACATATATATAATATATATATATATATAGCAGAACTAAAAAGAATTACGACTATCATTACTTGCGTCGTCATGGTACAATATAGTTCCACATAGATAATCGAGATTGACATTACCTTGCATGACATTTTGTAGGTAAATTCTGACATAGCTGTCACGATCAGCACGACTCTGTGTGTGGTAGAAACCCATGCAGTGCATCATCTCATGCTGAACCGTCATCTGATAATTACAGCCGTATCCGAGGGAAATGTCCTGTCTTCCTCCAATCTTTCCGATATATGACCAACACCTCCATTCGCGTGTAAGCAATTAAAAGAATATTTTTTTATTAACTCGCGCATTCACACGGCAGTGGATCCTGTGTG